CACAAAGGCCTTATTAATACACAAACTAGTACATTTACTATCTACTAGAGCTATTGTTTGAATCTGAGAGGATTCTAAGAAGGGAGCTAAGAGAATAGGAACCTAGAGCTAGTACTCAGAATGTTCTCTAATAAATTGTAGCTTGTTCTAAAGGGAATGTACAGTTTGTACAGTCTTATTATCTAAGAGAGTAAGTATATACACTAACATTTCCTTATTAACCTCTCTCTTTCAACAAGGACAGACTTATGTTCTCAACTATGAACTCAGCTAAGACTATCCCTACTTAATACTATAGACAAACTACTAAGTAGTAAACAGGGCTAGGTAGTGTTCTAAATGTTCTAAGTTCTTAGAACACAGAAGTAGCAGGTTAGATTGTACAGATTTAGACTTAGATAAAGTGTGAAGAGAAGAATCAAAAGAATTAGAAGAAATAAGAGAACTATCTACTTTTGTTTTCAGCTTTTTTCTTTTTAATAAATAATTTTGTTAATTTACTTTTTCTACTTTTTCTACTTTTCTTACTTTATTTACTTCTAATCCTATAGTGTCTATTAAATCAAAAGTAGTTGTTAAAAAATCCAAGTTATAGCCCTCCAGTATTACATTCACTATTGAGTCTCTACAAAATCCTAAGGTACATAGTTAGAGTCTGAGAGTTCTAAGGTGATTTTCAGATTTGTAGAAAAGGCTTCTTACTACAAATCCTACTTGTTACTTATTATTACTCTAATAACCTAACAGATATACTGTCACTTCTATAAGTAGTTCTTAATTTAGTGTCCTAACTTTCTGTAGGCAAAGTATACTCCTTACTTTTAAGCTTCTCTAATGTTTATCAGAACAGATTGATTACAAATTACAGGCAGATCAATCTAAGGGTTCAGAACTGTTAGAGCTGAACACATGTATAAGTGTTCTATACAGACTTAACATATTTGAGCTATAGCTTAGTTAAAGGAAATAGTGTATGTTTTCTAATTAGTGTAAGTAATCAGTTTTAACATTATTCTAAGAATCTTATTAACCAGTTCTGAGTAAAGAGCTTTCTCAAGCATTCTAATAAGAACATTATTAAACCTAAGTATGAATCCTGTCTTCTAGGCTAGAATATTAAACTCCTGAAAAAAGGTATTAGTAGAATGTTTGCCCTGTTACAGAGACACAAGCTTGTTCTACACATTATACTTCTTATTCAGATTAATAAAGGAAGTACAGAGCTGTTTTATAAATTCTGAATATGACTTGTTGTTCTAAAGTTGGATCAGGCTTCTAATCTAATGTCCTTTAATCCAGTTCTAAGCCTAGGTAGTTATATTACCTTCCTTTATAAAGGAGAGGACAAATAAGACACAATTAAGATCTGAGAATAGATTAGTTAAAGTAGTAGCTATATATAGTTCAACTTAGTACTAGAAGTCCTTAAAGTACTACTTATTAAAGTCTGAAGGGTAGACTATATACAATTTCTTTCTAGAACAGGTTGTAACTTCTAGAACAATTAGAACAGGTTCTAAGAGGGCTAAGAGTATGTAGTTAGTAAAAGTCTCTTAGATAAAGGTTTACACATATTAAGCTAGGTCTGCTTGTAACTACTAATCTAGTAGGACAGTAAGGGTAGTAGTTAGTGTAGAAGAGTCTATGTTTACACTACAAAGGAATCAACACTAAACTAAAAGGGGTAATAAATAGAAGAAGAGTAGTAAAAGTTTAAAAGGGTTTAGAAAGTTTAAAATTTAAAAATGTAAAAGAGTTAGGACAAAGAAAAGAGATTAACACAATAGTAAGTACTAATGTCTAAAACATAAGAGAGTTGTAAGGTAGTAATAGGTAGTCTTAATCTAATATTAGTAACAGTATAGAGGGGACCTGAAGGCTTAGTAAGAGGACCTAGGCTACAACTATTCTACACAACAGAAATACAGAACACAAGTACTAGAATGTAGTCAGAACTTATAGAACAGACATAGAGAGAGAGTGAGACAAGAGTAGAGTATATAGAGTAAGTCTAAGAGTATAGAACTATCTAGAGTAAATAAGATTAAGACTATAGAACTAGTCTGATCTTGTACACTTATATATACTAAACTATATAAGAGTACTCAGAGAGTATAAGCTACTAAGAATGATGAGCTATAAAGAATAAAAGAAAGAAAGGTCAAAGATAAAGGTATAAAGAATAAAGGAATAGACAAAGGGTAAGAGACTATAGAATAAACAAAGAATAAAGGGGTGGTCAAAGGAACAGAATAATAAAGTAAGGAGGGGTAGTAGTAAGAGTCAGTATGTATATAGTTTATAGACAGTGCCTCTAAGGGACAGAAGTCCTAAGTTCTAGTACAGAAGAGTGTAGAACTCTTAGAACTAAAGGTGTAAGAGTAGAGAACTGTAACAACTTGTATTTAATTAGTGTTTCAAGTCTTGTAACTATCTTATACTACTGTTCTGAGTAAATACAAATACTTCTAATAGTACTAACAGTTCTAATAAAGGTAACTGGTTGTTCTTCTTTGACTAGGATAAATATGTAAATACATATTCTAGTTAAGACAGAATAGTATTAATTTAAAGGATTTCTAAGGTAGAACTAGTTTAGAACTTATTCAGAACAATTTAACTCTAGAAAGTATATAGTTAGTCTACTAGATTTTGTTTAAGAGTTCTCTAAAGTCTTTAGTAAAGAGGAATTTGACTAGCTTCTAGAATGTTACTTTTAGAACTATATAATTAAGTTAACTAAAAGCTTTTAACTTAAGGATTGTAAGATTTATTTACTCAACAGAGATGAGTAGGAAGTACTTAATAAGTTCCTTTAGGAAAATCTTTAGAACAGTTAGATTCAACTCTTAAAGTCCTTTATAGCTTCCTCTTTCTTCTTTGTCAAAAAGAAAGATAGGAAGCTTTGTCTAGTCTAGGATTATTATTACCTTAATAAGAGTACTATTAAAAACAAGTACCTACTCTCTCTAATTCAGGAGCTCATTAATAAGATGTATACATTCTAAGTTTTTACTAAGTTAGACATTTAATAAAGATATAATAACATTTGAATCTAAGACAGAAATGAGTAGAAGACTGTATTCTAAACTAATTACAGACTATACAAACTGACTATAATGTTCTTCAGACTAACTAACTCACTCACAACATTCTAGTTATTCATGAATTACATTCTTACAGATCTGATTAACTTAGAGTATGTTAGTGTGTATTTAGACAATATTCTAATTTTCACCTAAACAGTTAAGTACTACTACTAACTAATCTAAGTAGTTCTATAGTAGCTCTAAGATAATAAACTGTTTCTCTAAGAAGTAAAGTATTCTTTTATATAGGAGTCAGTAGATTATCTAAGCTTTGTAATTAAGGGAGGAGAGGTCTGTATAAATCTAGCAAAGATAACTATAGTTTAGAACTAGTTACAATCTTAGAACATAAAATAGGTCTAAGTATTCTTTAGGTTTGTAAACTACTACTAATACTTTATTTAAGACTTTAGTACTATTGTCTAGCCTCTCTACAATCTTACTAGTAAAGATGTTCTATAGTAATAGAATATTTGAGAACAGTCTACTTTTGAGTCCCTTAAGTAGACTATTACTAGTAAGTCTGTATTAGTAGTTCTAACAGTTGTAGACAAGTTCTGAGTTAAAGTCAACTCTTCTAACTTTACAAATAGAGTAGTACTATTCTAGTTTATTAATAGAAAGTAGTGTCTAATAGTATTCTGATTAGAATCCCTCTCTATAATAGAACAGAACTACTCTATTTATAATAAGGAACTTTTTACAATTGTCTGTTCCTTAAAGGAGTAGTGTTAATATCTTTTTAGTACTGTATAAAAGTTTAAGATTTAGAGTAATTACCTTAATCTCTAATACTTTCAGACACCTTAGAAGCTCAACTACTACTAGGCTTACTAAATACTAAAACTATAGAACTATAACTTTATACTAACTTACAAACTTAGAAAGTAAATAACAAAAGCTGATTTACTCTTAAGACAAGTAGGTTATAAAAGGGGGGAGAATAATAACAAAAACCTTATTCTCCTTAACAATTCCTACTTTGTATCTAAGACAATCTAAGAGATCTGACTTGAATCTAAGAATATTAACTTTATTACTTACATATAGTAAGCTCTAAGACACACACAGGACTGAGTTATAGTAAAGTAGTTAGAGAAGTAAGCTAGAGACTAGAAGGAGAATAAGGATAGATAAGTTTACTAGAAAGGTTAACTATATGTTCTAAAGGATTAGAAGCTGTAGAAGGATATTGTCTAAGCTTATTATAACAATCTAACTATAGAACATTTAAACTAACACAAAATACAGAAACTTATTACTTAGAACTACTAGTAGTTAGAAATACAGAAGAAAATTCTAAAGTATGTAAGTAGTTATAATATATACTAACAGACTAAGACTTACTAGATAAGAGTTTAGACTCTTTTACATTTGTATTAGATTCTAGATTACTCTTTAGGAAGAAGTCTTAGTAGACCTGATTAGTAAGCTACCTAAGTGTAAGGATTTGATTTACTGGTCTGTATTTTATTATCACTACATTGCTGATCGCGTCAGATCATTGCGCAGTGGGACCCACAAGCACATATATTCTCATTGTAGTTAGTTACACTTCCTCCTCATGTATCTACACGTGTATACCCCTATAAAGGACAGTATCGACCGCTGGGTAAAGGGGATTCTTTTCCCCTGACCCCTCACTCGAGTACTAGGTTATCCCAGTCAGTAGTTGAGTAAACTAAGGGTGATTAGAATTCTCTTGTGAGGAACAGTGAGTTTCCTTACATATTTTTGACTGTACCCACCTAGCACCGAAACCCCTTGCTGGATGCTGAGGAACCGAAGGGTCTGATCAACCCTAGGTCTCCCTCATTGTCTAGTACCCCTCAGGAATTATTAGTGAGTAAAGTTACGATTTTCGAGTAGAAACAGAGACTACTTACTGGATTGGCCCCTAGTAGGTTCACAATGCTTTGGAACGCTGCAGAACGCTTCTGGAACACATTAGCACATATTGATATGGACCAGTGCTGGATACGCTGGAGGTCCGCATTGATCAGATGGGTTGAGGACCAGGCATCTGTGACAGTGAAAAGGAACAAACAGGTGCACATTGAGTTTACAGATAATGGACAACAAGATTATCCATTGGTTATTGATTACAATGTGGCTGCCAAGCCTCGACTAACGATTCCCAGAGGGTACCCAAGTCTGGATATTGATACTAACATGCCAGGATGTAAGTCCTCGTCCCTCATGGGCTGGAGGCAACCTGATGAACCTATACCAGGTGATAAGTCCTTGTCTACACAAGGCTGGAGGCACCCTGATGAACTAGTACATACCAATAACATAGAATTAAGGTATGTAACTGTACCAGTGCATATAGTTAGACAAACGTGCAATGTAGAGCAGACACCAGCAAGTATTCACACTACTGGGCTTGCAGAAATAGCAAATAATGGTACAAAGAGTGGAAACGCTCAGGCAATTGTTCTTGAGGATTCAGACAGTCAAGTTCAGGATGAACAGGCGATTGGATTCGAGGATTCGTCCAATCGAGTACAGAAGGTTGAGTTTGAGGATTCAACTCACTGAGTACAGGCGATTGAGCTTGAGGATTCGCTCAATCGATTTCAGGCTACTGAGTTTGAGGATTCACTCGATAGAGAACAGGCAATTTGGTTTGAGGATTCACCAAGTCGATATAGAGAGCTAACAGCAAGCATTGAGGAATTTGCAAGCTAGTACAAGAGTTACAGAGTGTATATAGTCAGTATCAGTGAGAGCATGGATGAGTATCCAGTGAGCACACTTACTTCAGAACGGAAACACATTGACAACAGCAATGTAGAGGGTAATGAGACACTTAAGACCCTCTTTAGCAGTGAAGAAAGCAGCCAGGACTCAAAGAACAAGAGTAACAGACAAGGCCAGGAGAGCTAGGCATTGGAACTACAGAGATTCAATGAGGAACAAGACTTCCAGAAGGCAAGTAAGACCTTCAGACACATTGTGAGAGCTAGAGTGATTGAGATAGACATAGGACATGTCAGCCCATTCCACAGTTTGATAGACATCGAAGATTTGAATAAGAGAACGTACAAGTTCGATAGAATGTATCAGGAAGAGGAGAAAGCAACTCCTTCATCAAACAAGAGCAGACTCAATAGTATAGCAACAGAAAAGTGTGAAACGCTTCGGGCAGGCTACAGAACAAAAGCCAGACATGCCACAGTACCTACAGACAGTAAAGATCAGAACTATTGATACAAGAGTGTAGAAGAAACGCTCAAGAGTCCAGACAAACAATTGCATTTGTAGAAAGCAAAAGGAAAGTGCAAAGCAAAAGGAAAACACAAAGCACAAGGAATGGAACGAAAACCAGAACTGCCAGGCATTCAATACAATTGTGAAATCGATTCAGACTATCCAAGCAAAACAGACATTGCATTGACAGAACAGTACTTTGAGGATAGCAAAAGTGAACACAAATTGGAACTACAGGGATCAGTACTTGATCCAGAGGGCAAAAACCAAGCATACACCCATGAAATCAAGTGTTTAACCTCATACATGGTAGATATTGACTACACATTGCACAGGAGCAATGTACAGGACTACTACAATGGATACAACACCCTAGCCAGGTCCAGGAATAAGAGAGAAAGCAAAATACCTGGATATATGTGGTCTCAAATGGAAATACCAAGTTTTTCAGGACATCAGAGTATCCCTTGCGAAAATAAAAGGAACAAACGATCCCATAGTGATACTTTGCGATTGAAAGCAGTCCCAGACATATGCATACACAGTCGATTCTATTCAGTACAGGGAGAGATACAGGATTAGTATTGAATACTACAAAGGAACTATGTCAGTTGACATTGGAACAGACATTTCCAGCTTCAGGATTGAAGAAACAGTCTATAATGAGCACGATCGAAGTAATTCGCATAGAACAACGTTCTATAAGGTACAATTGGATGTTATGCTACAGAACTACTCAGTTTACAGTGAAGAACTGTTGGAAAACGTCAGAACCAGCTCAGACTACAAGGATATATTGTACAGAACACAGTTTCAGGAGAACATAAGGTATTACATTGCGAAATACACCTTCAGACAGTCAGGATTCATTAGAATAGACCCAGGATACTTTATTAGACATAGTATGGGCATCACAGACATGCAAACGGATGTGCTAGTGTGCATATACTCAGGATACATAGTAAGAATCGAGGTATTCAAGCTACAGGATGACAATTACAATCTACAGAATGTAAAACAGTTACAATCTATGTAACACAAGGATAGTAAGACACTACTGAGATCAGGAAACAATACACATTGTATGGAACGAAGTACAGAAGTTCAGAGGGTGACTTCAAGCCAGAGAACAGGTTCAGAACCTGGACAATCTGCTCAATCTGCTCAATCTGCTCAAACGGATTATCACACTGCTTCAAGGGAAAGCGAAGGCAATACGCATACAGCCAGTGAATATCAGAGTGATAGTGAATTAGCAATGATTGATCAGACTATTCGAGCATTCAGGAACGATACTTCAACAATACAGAAGGAAATAGAGTACCAGGAAGCTCAAGGACATCTATTGAACAATGATACAGTTCAATCTACTCTAGGAATGAGTAGTTACAATTGGTTCAAAGTATGAAAACATGCAGAAGACCTCTCCAGACACCCTAGAAAGGTTTCAGGACAGTACCAGACGTTTTACACTGAAAATGAAGTCATATTTCGATGAGAGGGCAAGAGGCACACACATTGTATTGCATACACACTCTTTGAGCATACAATCTACATGTTTGAACATACATTTTTCTTACTTGAGATACTATGAAACGATTTCGCAAAGGACTTCACAGCACCAGACAGTATCAGTACTACAGGAAACAGGACACATGATAGGTACACGAGGAAAGAATACATTGGAACAAGGACAAGGACACAGAAAGACAGGAAGTCAGTGCTAGAGCACATTGATCCACACATGGATTTGCCAAATGAACAAGGAATTGGCAGCATATACTCAGGACTTCAGGCAGTGCTACTGCACATACAGACAGGACTTTTCATTAAGACATACATGGAACAACACAGTATACAGACAGTTACAGCATTCAGGAAAGTAGAGAACGCTACTTGGACACATTGTGATAGAACATCACACTATGAGACAGCAAAAGTATACTCAGACGATTCAGGAATCGAATCAATCAACTTACGAAGACACAAACAAGTTGAGACACAAGGAAACAGTATGAGAATACAGCAGGACATTCATTACACACAGAGATACTGTGCATATACACACATATCTAGTGATATTAGGCTCATACCTTACAATCTCATTGAATTTGAGACAATATTTTCATTCAAGGACAGATATTACACTCTATGTTACACTCTGCAATTAGTATTTGGACATTGAGCTCAACAGGATATCCAGTTTTGCATCACAGTTGGTTATTGTATACAAAAGAGTACACATTTGGAGACATTCTACCAATACAAGCACAAGGCACTACATTTGTAGGAACTAGTCTATTGGAAAAATTGAGGACATAGCAGAGGAATTTTGGAATACATCTCCACTATCTATTATTGTATGACTATTCTACAGGAGCAGAGAAACGCACAAGGTCAGCTAGAAGCTGCAACACTAATACATTCTATTGAGGAAGAAGGTTATAGCTTTATCAATCAGGGATTTACCTCTGTGCTTCCTGAAGACGCAGGAGAAGAGAATATTTGCAATTACCATGCTGCCGGAATTTCCACTTCCATACATATCAATCTATGCTGTGTGTCTCAGAATACTCAAGAGCTGAAACGCCATATCTCCCCAGGAACTCCACTGATTCTCTTCGAAAAGTGTTGTATCAATAGCAACAATCAAGAGGCAACTTTCCTACTATTTGACTATATGGTAATATGGACTACGTTTTATTCTATTAACGTTTTATCTAGTTTCACATGGTTTGGAACCATGCTACTCACTGTCCAGAATGCCACCACTGTCTCAATACACACCGGATCAACTTCAGATCACTTCAGAGAGGCAGTACTACATCACGAGGATGTTTCCCATATGCATGGGCAAGGTATTTCTTTATTTACTTGTTACTAACTGTTACTTTTAAGTAAGTTTTCTGCCTTTTCTACTGATTTTTAGCATTTAGGACTAAATGCTAGAGGGCGAGTGTAAGGATTTGATTTACTGGTCCGTATTTTATTATCACTACATTGCTGATCGTGTCAGATCATTGCACAGTGGGACCCACAAGCGTATATATTCTCATTGTAGTTAGTTACACTTCCTCCTCATGTATCTACACGTGTATACCCCTATAAAGGACAGTATTGACTGCTGGGTAAAGGGGATTCTTTTCCCCTGACCCCTCGCTCGAGTACTAGGTTATCCCAGTCAGTAGTTGAGTGAACTAAGGGCGATTAGAATTCTCTTGTGAGGAACAGTGAGTTTCCTTACACTAAGTCTTAGGGTTACAATACTATCTGTATAGTTGTTAACTGGTTCTCTAAGTAAGTTTATATAGTTTTAACTTAAACAGAACTTACTTTTAAAAGTATAGTGTGTATTTATTAAAACTATGTTTTCTAGTTGTATAGACTCTCTTAGAAGCTTATTCATAATTATAGACTATAATTTGAGTCAAAATTCATGTAGAACTTGTACACTCTTCTTAGAATTCAAGGGAACCCTTCTACTATATATTACTTATAAACTAATAATTAAACTAAGTAAGTTAATTAGAAGATTAAACTCTACCTTTAAATGTTTATTAATTATTAGTAGTCAGATTAGTCTGAATAGTTAGCTCTAACAGAATTTGTGTATAATAACTAATAACACTCTATAATAAGACAGTCTCTGTTCTTTCTCAACTATAAAAGGTATTTGTATTAGAGGACAGTTTTAAGCTAGAATAATAGTTCTGAATTTACAACAGACTTACACAAAACTAAAAAGGACACACAAGCTCTTTTAGAGAAGGTAGTACAAGTTATAAAGTAGAACTATGATTAGAAGAGGTTTACAGTTAAGAATTACTAGTCTAGTAATAAAGTAATATTAGAAACTATTAATTTGACTATAAATTACTTAATAAAGAAGTTGAACAACAAGTACTTTAGACCCTTTGTTATTAAGAAGAAGGTTAATACCTCTACTTACAAACTCTAACTCTTAGTAACCTGAAAGTATATACACTTAGTGTTTAATAAGGTTCTATTGTCTTAGTACTATAACTCAGGTTTTCCTTTATAATAAAGACTCTTACTACTTTTATTAGAACTTGTTAGTTCTGAACTAGAATACAAAGTAGAGTATATAGTAAACAATAAGTTAGTATGTAGAAAGCTTAAGTTCCTTGTTTACTAGAAAGAGTATTTAGTTAAAGAACACACTTAGAAACCTACTAAGAATCTTACTTATATTACTAATACAATTTAAGACTTTTATTAACTTTATCTAAGTACTCTGTACTAACTCTACCTTACAGATTTCTAAACCTTACTGTTCTGACTTATACTTAAACTACTAACTAAACCTA